ACCCTCCCCCAAAGTTTCTAAATATAGCATCTGGGTAGATAGTGATGGCACCCATCTATGTAGAAAAAGGGTTGAAAGAAACAGGAAGAGAGAGAGAGAGAGAAAAAAGGACTGGTTGGAAGACATTACTTATTCCCAGAACTCACCATATGAAAAGTAGAGGAAATGGCTTAAAATGAAAATTCTAATTTAACAGAATGAAAATGAGTTGAAAAAAATGGATGATATTGTGAACAGATCTATCAGCTCTTTAAATTTAAAAAATAAAACCCTTAAGTTAAATTGCCAATCCCTATCTTCCTGTAAAATGGACATCGCTCTTAATGCATTAAAAATCTAGGCTCTTATTGTTGCATAGATTCATAATCTGACCTTCTCCAGGTTGCCAAAGTCTAAGAAATAGCTTCAAGACTGTAGATTAACCTTTATAAGGTGTACTTGACATGAATTTTTAAGAAATATAGTGTCTTCAAATAAATGATCCCAACACAAATTTAAGATTCAATCAGCATTAATGGTGGTATTAGAAATGATAACTTCAATTATAAGCATAATGCATTTTCCTTTGGGAGATTAATTTATGTAGAGTAGGTACTTGGAGTTAGCCCTGGTCCAGCCATACTTCAAACCTGCTTGTGAGCAAGAAAAGACATTTGTGCCAGTCTGATTTTAGATAATAGCAAATGTTTAAAAAAAATTAATGTTATGTAACACATTTTCCATAAAGTTATTTTTTTCCAGTCATCTGAGAAAAGGGGTGTGAGTTGAAATTAAAACAGATAAGATATAAAATTAATAAAAGAAATGTACAATTCCATCCTCATGTGAATTTTATATTCAATCTATGATTTTAAAAGAAATAGCTATGAAATATTGTGCTCCATAAGAATAAAATAAGCCATTTATCTCAGTGTTATTTTTCATCATTTCACTTTTTGAAAGAAAAAGCCAGTTCTTCAAGGAGATACATGACTAAAACTATAAGATAATTTTTAAGGATGTTGACAGCTATTTTTAAAAGGAGAATCATGAGAGTTCTCCTGAAAATGAAAACAAAAGTATCTGTAACATCCAAATTCTCTAAACTGAAAACACAGAAGAATTTTTTTCTTTAGATAATTTAGAAAAAACTACTCTTAGAAATCTTCTTGGGGATACTGAAAAGTAGAGCACAAAGATATACTTTTTTTAAATATGCTAAAAAATAGATGAATTGATATCCATATGTAATATCTATAAAATAGATTAAATTAATATAATTAAAAATTCTTTTTAAACTCTAAAGCCATAAAGTGTTAATAATTATAGGTAGCATTTACTAATAGCTTTTTATATGCCATACAAATGTTTCAGACGCGTTAGGTACTTGGAGGTAAGTACAATTATTAGTCCCATTTTATAGATGGTAAACAAAGTTTGGTGTTAAAGTTACTCATCTGAGTTCTCCAGGCTAAGTGGCAAAGCCAGCCCTTGATCTGAAGATCTGTATGCCTCTTAAGCATGAGCTTACCTCCAGCATTCTATATATTGTCCCTCTTGCAAAGTGTAAGGTGACGTAATATTCCATTTCTTTTAGATCAGTATGTCTTTTCATTGGCAATATTTAACTAAAGCCAGAGGTGGAACCAAGAGGTAAAAACTGGGGGCCAGGAGTGGGAATATCCAGTTATTCTTCTGGCCTGATCATTGAGTTTATACCAATTGACTCATTTATCCATTCAGTTTTTTCATCTGCAAAATGAGAATCAGACTAGATTAAACCAGTGCATCATTCTGATGAAGTGGTATTTCTGATGTTGTTACTGCATATTATATAGATTTATCAAATAATTTTAAGCACTTCAATAAGAGGACCTCCATAAAAACTCACTTTCAAACAGCTCAAAATAGTATTCATTAATTCATCCCATACATATTGTTATACATTCACAGCATCTGGGTAGGTACTTTGAGAAAAATAAAAGTCAAAGACATTCTATGCGTTCCACGATACAATCTACTCGGAAAGACACAAAACACAGGTAACCAGCACAAAATTGCTAAGCAACATACAAACCAGTGCAAAATAATATAGTAAAAAATATTTACCTAAGTAATAAGGAGATATGGAATGAAGGCATAATCAGTGTGTACAGGTGTAACTAGAAAAGAAAATTGAAAGGAAGAGTTTTGACCCAGAAGACCAAGGAAGTGATGAAGATGGATGTCCAAAGAGAAAAGGTAGAGAAGCATGAGAATGTATATTTGGGGCTAATAAATTTGTAGAAGAAACAAGAGCTGGAAAGTTGAAGAAGAGTGATTGACAGATGGCCTTGAAGATCACACAACACAGATATGAATTAAAAGAAAAAAAAGCAAAATAAAACCTTGTTTTGATTTGGTTCTTCAAATTGCTTTTGCAATTGGAAAACAAAAATTCTAATTCTAATATACCATTGGCCCAAAGTGTTTGCCTAAAGTATCTGTCAAATCAGTGTTCCATAAGTTACTCTAATGAGTTTCACTCTAAGCAAATTAAATGAAAGAACCAAACCCAAATATTTCCATTGCAAGTTGAAAAATGGTTCTTCTTAGATCAAAGTTGTCTTTCAAAAACTACATGCATACATTTTTTTTAAGATTTTTCCTCCACCTTTTATTACTGTTGTCTTAATGACACTTGCCTTTTGTTTTAATTTAATCTCCCTTTTGTAACTTGTAATGCCTTCTGCAAAATTCAGCAGTTCAATTTGGAGGCAAAGAAATGAAACCTTGATGACTCTTAAGATTGATGTGGGAAGAAATTACCTTGGTTAGTCGTGCCTATTCTTATTAGAAGCCTGAAGTTTGTTTTCGCTGGAGGAGTGGTGGGAGCTTGATGCGAAGCCAAGACAGTGGATCATGTTGTGTGGTTTATTTTTCAATCACTGAATTCAAGGAGAAGCTAGAATTGCATTCTGAATGATTATATTGTTGTACATGTTATCAAATAATAGCCAAACAAGATAGGACATTAATGTGCATGATACACAAAAATGAATGTCATTCTTCCTCTTTAGATTATGTCAACAAAACGAGTGAATATTCTATAGTTTGGAAACAATATAAACACATTTTTAATGGAATATATAACCGTCATGAATGTCTTTCCAAATAAGAATACTGTGGGCAGCTACTCAACATGAAGATGTGTATTACACTGAGGAAGTTGTAATTGTTCTCCCAGAATATGCTATGAACACTGCAGTGTTTAATCAATGAATCATGCAGCTACTGTTATGCAAACCCTCTACCAGGTGAGCTGTGAGTGTATCTGCATGGTGTACATGAACTAAGAATGTGAACACAGAAAAAATATCTTTTTTTTGTAACCCGCTTCCCCTTGTTCAAAGCGAAAGACAGCAGAGCCATCTGAAACTCTGGACTAAGACTATTCACACACGGCCGGAGAGAGTGAATGGTATCCCCTAATAATCAGTCTTATTTAATATCTAATAAAAGTACTACTCACATTTTTATCAATGGGTAAAAATATCTAATATCTACTGAGCAATTATTATATGCCAGATACCATGCCAAGTGCTTTACACAGAACTGCATTATTCCCACTATGGCACCATTGCAGTGGTTCTCAGCTGGGACCATTTTTGACCCTAAGGGACATTTTGCAATGTCTGGAGTCATTTTTGGTTGTCGTAACTCGGCAGGGAGGGGTTGTGCTATTGGCATCTAGGGCTAGAGGCCAGGAATGCTGCTAAACATCCTTCAAAGCACATGATGGCCCCCACAACAAAGAATTATCAGTCCAAAATGTCAATAGTGCTGAGGTTGAGAAACCCTGCCCTATTTTTATCTTCACTTAATAGATGAGAAAAATGAGGCTTAAAGAGGTTAAATAAACTGCTCGAGATGACAGAGCTAACAGGTGGCTGAGGTGGGCCTCAAATCCGGCATTGTTTGACTCCAAAGCCCACCTTCTCCCTACCATGTTATGCTCTTGCTGCATTGCACCTCATCGGAAAACCATTTGCGTCACTGTAGACAATCTCATCATGCAACAGACCTAGGGCTTTGAATCAGAGATCCTCGGTTTTGGCATAGGTAGAGCTGCTCTCTACCTCTTTGATCTTCCTGAGTCATCCAAATTTTCATCAGAATGGTTCTGTGATTCTAGCCTTGAGCCTGCTAGCATGGTTGCCTGATTGTCTCTCCCTCCCCGCGCTGGGTGTTAGATTAGTCCTCCCTTAGGATTTACCCTTCTTCTGCTCTCAGTTTCCCAGCAAGCAGTGGAAGATTCCCCGGAGTCGCCCCCTGCTGACTTTGACATCTTCTCTGTGGAATAGAATCTTACCTTCAACGATGCCAAGGACAACTTTTTCTACCTTTAGGGAACAACCCAAACACCATAGGGGAGGTAAGGGAGATTTGGCAGTGCCCTTTCCCTCCAACTATCTGCGGAGTGTCAGATAGTCCTTAGGGAAGCCACTAAGAGTTGACTCTCTCCCGCTCTGAAGTAGTAAAGGCTCCTAGGAAAGGGAATCCACGGCCTGACCTCCAAACCAAATACCTGAAGACTCAATGTATGTTGCCCAGTTACCCGCCTGCACCCCAGGGACCAATCTAAAATGGCCCAAACAAAGCTAGCAGGCAGCATGAAGCCAGATTCTCCATGCCCTGGTTGTTTTTACACCCATTACAGAAGTAACACATATGCCCCAAAATAACAGCTTCACTAAACCACAGCATCAGGAGCTGTAATTTGTCTTTAAAAATAGATTTGAAACAAAAGAAACAGTATTTCCTATTATGTGCCCTTTTGAAGAACCAGATTTGTTTCTGTAGAAAACGGAATATGGAAGAACACCCAAGGCTGCACTAAGATTTCAAGCAGAACCAAACACACTAATGCGGATTTCAGTCCGCAGCATTTACAAATGCAATTGCCAGAAAGATTTCTGGTTCTTAAAACCTGCCTGTCATCCAGAGGTGATGGGTCTTTCTGCCCCAGTTAAAACATACATAGTTCATTTCAAAGAGGGCTGTGGGCTGTGAAACCAGGAGCTCTTAACTCTGTGACGAAAGATTGAAGTTCTTCGTTGGATGCCATAATCACTCAACAGTGCTAAGTTTTTCTGAGGAGATACAAAATGTAGCCTCTCATAATCATGATAGTTCACTCATAAGGACCCATGATTGGTGATCTGGGAAAGTAAATAAATGTCTCAATGTCAAAAAAATATATTTATCACTCACACTCAGTTACACATCCTAATAGTAAAAAGGCAGAACAGGGACTAGTCATGATAGCTAGTAACTGGAATTCACATCAGAACTTAAACTTTAACAGATAGTTTCTTCTTATCCTCCTCACTAAGTCACCTCTCAGATGTGCTAACAAATACCAAAATTACCCAGTGTGGATTGCGTTTCTCTGTTGGAGGACGTCATCAAGAGGATATGACCACAGGTTGACCTGAAAGCTGGACCTGGGCAATCCGAGCAGAGGCACCTTACCCACTCTCCTGTCTTGGAATGTACATTCTGCCCACTGTTCCTGTACTAGGAGCCACTTCAGTGATGCAGCCTTGAGAGAGTAATGCATTGTTGAGACCACCTGCATTGTATACGTGACTGAACCCCGTTAAGGCCTCTATATAAACTTTTAGGCTTCTGGCAGGTGGATACAGTGACCAATTTATCCTGCAGCTCCCCAAGACAAGCCTCATATGTAAGTTCCCTTGCTTATTAAAACTGCCACCTACCAATCTGGAGTGGTCCGCCTCTTTCTTTGGTCTCTCCTTGCCCTCCTTGTATGGTGGTCAGTTTCGAATTTCACCTGGGGAACTCTCCAAGTTTCGACCCAACATTCACTTATCTCCACCAAACCAGCGCTCCCCAGCCATGGTCCTAATGATGATTAAAGTCCAATTAGCTGAATGAGAGAGAAGCAGGAACCCTACAATATCCAGAGACCTGAAATTTCCTGTGACAAAGTGCAAAGGAACCGCATCTTAATTATCCATGCCCTGATCCATCCCTACCCTCCCCAATCCTGCCTGACCTGGCAGAGTTCCTACTTTAATCCTGCCCAGGGAAGCTGCTTGCTGGAAAGGCCAGTGCAGTGCAGAAACACAGGCACAGTTCCCATCAGAAAAACGATCATGATGAGAACCTCATCTCTGGACATGTTGCTTATGGTACTCCAGGCAGTCCATTTCCTTTGTCCCACAGGCAACATGGTAGGTGGGTGGGTGCCGAGTGCAGTACCACTGGTAAGAGTCAGAGTGGCCTTCCCATTGTCTGAAAGCAAAGCAAATGCCTTAGAAAGAAAGCACAGTACCTTTCTATACTCTTTAAGCTTCGGATACTGCAGAAATGGAACCAGCTGCTTCTAATGGAGACTTCGGCTAATTTGATTCTAAACAATTCGCCGTTTGCTGGCCATCTCATTGTTGTGCCCCAGCCCTAGCCAACATCTTACCTGAACACACACACCATTTCTTTTATTCTGTCTATCTCCAAATGTTTAAGCCGGATGAAAGTGAGCTGGCTAGAGCCAGGACAGCCAAAGCTGTCACGGAGCTTTCTGCCCCTGACATATAAGTCAGCCCAATTGCCGTAGCCAAGTAGCAGTCATTTGTCTTTTCCCTCATCTCCTCAGAGCAGAGGCTGACGTTCAGGGTGGCTTTAGAATATGGACAGGGGTCTCCACAGCCTGGAAAAGACATCTGATGCCTTCCCCTCCCCTCCCCCAAACTGTGCTCGGCAGTCCTGACTCCTCTAAGGCTTGAACGTGGGTCTCCAGAGGTGAAAGGAGCATGGATTAGCCCACCGCGCTGCCTTGCCCACAGCATAGTATAATATTAATTAGTCACCTTCCTTATTATTCAGTCAAAATATGCCAGACTGAAATAAATTACATTCTTAGCACATATTTCACACCCCTGGATCAAGTCTTACAAGGGTTTTCTTTTATTATTTATAAGATCATGTGCTGTCTTCCTGCGGAAAATGAGATGGTCTGCATGAGGAAAAAGGTAAAAGAAATGCAGAGAAATGAAACAATCAGATATTCCCTAATGATATTTAAAAATAGAAAATTTGCTACTGTTACATACAGCATGTTCCATCTTTTGAGATTTAATGGCTCTCTTGTGGTTTAATGGAGAATTACTTTCAGTAATTGATTATTAAAATTTAAAATTGCTAACCATCTTCATTATTAGATGAGCGAACATGTTATCCTTGTAATTAAAAAACCCACTTTCATCCTGTTGACAGAGCGGGCAGACTGTCTCCGCACTCAGAGTTGATGGTTTCAGGCTTCTTGTTTGACAAAAATAGCCAGCCAGTCATTTGATGATGAAAATGCAGAACATCCACAGAGACTGAGCAGAAAATATAATGAACAAAAAATAAAATAATAAAAAGCCCTACAAGCTAATTAAAGTTTTCAGTCCCGACTCATTAAATGCTCTGCATCACTTACGTGATATTTCAATGCGCTGTGCTCAGGTACCATGGGGCACTGTCACGTTATGCCAGCCTCCCTCAACGTGCCTTCAGAAAGCATCACAATCTTGCCTCCTCCCTCTGCAGCAGCGCCTGGCCTTTCGCAGCTCACCTCAAGATGCTACCATTACAAATTGTTGGTTTCGGCAACACACTACACAAAGGGGTACTGGAAAACTCCAGCGTGATTTCCTGCTCTCTCCAATGTGTTTAGGATGTTTCTGGACTGGCATGGAGAGCTCCAAGGCTTAAGTACCTTGCTGAGTCAAACAGTGGTACTTCAAAATCCCTTATGAAGTCCCACATCCTGAGAAAGAGAGCTGTATCAGTCAGTTATCCATCCACACGCTGGGGGGGCGGGGGGCTGGGGGGGGCAATTTCCCTTGATGGGAGCTTGCGTTTCCTCCAATGTCTTCATCGTGTTAGAGTGTTCATTTTGTGAAGGCAGCACTCAGTGATTTCCAAAAGGAAATTTTATAACTGTCAATGAAAAGAGCCTATCAAAGAGGACATTTTTCACAACTCAAGTACTAGACAGATGTCAGCCTTCAGAGAGGAAAATCCAGCAGACTTGAGAAGCACAAATATGAGTAAAGCAAAGATTTTTGAACATGAAGATTTATTTTAAAACCAAGGAGAGCCATCTGAATATCAGCATTCCTATAAAGTCTCAGTTATTTAGCTCATAACTGCCTGCTCAAATGTCAGTTTTTAAATCAATGATTTGCCAATATTTTCTTAACATTCAGACCCTCAAAGATGTCCTCTCCGCCTCATCCCAGCCAGCCTTGATTATTCTTTCATGCAAATCACCACCTTACCCTTTGTCCACACTCACAGACTATGATATCACAGGACAATATTTAGATTGTGCTGTAAGGCTATCATCATTGTCATTGTGTTTGTCTTACCAATTAGATTCTATGATCCTCACGAGTAAGAGCTATTTCTTTTGCCATTTCTTTTGCTATTACCTACATAGCCTTTTACCTGATGTCAAATTCAGCAGACATCAGGTCTACCACCCATCTTATTTGCTTTCTGGAATGGAAAGTTTGACAAGAAGCTGAGATCTTCTATACTAATTAAATATAACCTTGAATTTAGGACCCATACAGAGTAGATCAGCCTTTTTCAACTACAGAACAAGTTTCTCCATTATCCCAAGGATGGCACATAGCTAATTGCATTCTAGACTCTTATGAGATAAGTAAATTCATTACATACAATAAGCATTAGGGCTTAATTCTCGAAACTTCCTGAGAAGGGCTGGTCTAGATTGGCCTTTCAGATTATATTCAACAATCTCACAAAGTAATTAACAAATAAGAAAATCCCTTCCCTCTTCTGTAGTCTTTTTGCCTTTGGTAATGTAACAACATTTCCCCTGGAATATATAGCACCAACCAATTTTTATGGCCATCTCAAGTCACCCCATCATAAACATTTCGTATATCCAACACCACAGCACCTTACCTGTGCTAATGACACACACTTCCATCCCTTATCAGGTACCACTATTAAGTTATATGCATGCAGATAGCATACTTTACATTTTAATATCTTTCTACCTCTCTCAGCACGTAGTACCTAGCTTTTAAAGTGTAAGAGATTACAGTACACATTAACTGAATAAATGAATGAATGAATGAATAAATAAATGAAATCAAGAGAATGGGCTAGTCCTGGGGGTTTTTTTTTTCCATTTCTCAATCTCCTTTCTGTCTTTTTTTTTTTGAGGAAGATTAGCCCTGAGCTAACTACTGCCAGTCCTCCTCTTTTTTGCTGAGGAAGCCTGGCCCTGAGCTAACATCCGTGCCCATCTTCCTCTACTTTACATGTGGGACGCCTACCACAGCATGGCCTGCCAAGCGGCACCATGTCCGCACCCAGGATCCCGCGAACCACGGGCCTCTGAAAAGCGGAATGAGCGAACTTAACCACTGTGCCACTGGGCCAGCCCCCTTTCAATCTTCTTTCTTAAATTTAATATGAATTTAAATATGAATAAAAATAGCTACCCAATACAAGTGTACTGATTAAGGGTTTACAAATCATTTTTTTTTTTATATGGGCATCAAAAACTTCTACCTGCAAATTCCTGATCTTCTCATCTCAGTTGATGGCAATTCCATGGTTTCAGTTTTTCAGGCCATAAACTCTGAGCCATTCTGTGCTTCTTTCTTTCTCTCATACCCTTTATCCTATCCATCAACAGATTATGTCAACTCTTCTGTTAAAATAGATCCAGATCATTTATCACCACTTTCACTATTACAATTACCATCTTGTTTCAAGGTACCATCATCCACCCCCTAGATTATTCTAATTGTCTCCTAACATCTCTCTCTGTTTATTGCCAGAAATATTCTGTGGCAACATCACTTGATTCAAGTCATTCCTCTCTCCAAATCCTCCAAAGATTTCCCATGTCATTACAATGGCCTATAAAGTCCAAAATATCTGCCTGCCCCTCTTCACCCTTCTCATCATCTGCCGCTATGCCTCCTCCCCTTCTCTGTCATCAGGCATTTTAGTCTCCTTGCTTTTCTTCCAACCAGGCACCCTCCTGACTCAAGAAATGCCTTGAGGCCTTTGCACTAGCTCTTCCCTCAGACTCGATTGGGAATTCCCAG